TCTCACCTGGACCCACAGTCACTCTGTCCTCGGAAAGCGGGGAGGGCAGACAGCTCTGGGTTCAACTGCTGCTGACATCCGGGCCAGCCAGAAGCCGAGTGCAACAGACCAGGACTCTGGACTGAACTGCTAGGCGGCACCATGAACGGTTTCGTTTCCAGGCGCTCCTCTCTCTCGCTGTCCACACTGTGACAAGTGAAAAAGTGTTCCCAGACCAGAAAGGAACAATGTGCTGCAAACCGCTTGACCTCAAACCTTACACTGGAAAATCCTCCTCTCCTCCCAGGGGGCAAGAAGGCTGAGACCGGCACCCTCCTTACAGGTCACGGCCCGCCTCATCAGCCAGACTGCCCACAGGGGGCAAAAGGGATAAGTCAGAGCCCTGCTTACAGGGGCTCCTCTCCGACTAGCTGGGAATAGCAATGGACTCTGGCTCCCAATTACAGGACATCCAGTACTACACACGTTCAAATCCACTGTCCTTGTCACGTGGTAGGAGGCAGCATGCCAGAAAGCCAACCGAACAGTGGTTGCTCAGGTGGCGCATTTCAAGGAAGCAAGCAGCCCCACACCTGGAGGACAACAGGCAAAAACTAAGGCTTTCCTGACAGAGAAGTCAGAGCTCTCAAAGGACCCGAAAAAGGTTCCAAGTGCCCACACTGCATTGGGGGATGTAATGAAACCCCAGATAGCAGCAGCGAGCAGGGGAAGGAACAGCTGCCCACTTGCAGAAGGAACACACTTGGACCCGAGAGGCAGCAAGCTCAAAATGCCCACTGTACTAAAGAGCTCCCTGCCTTGGAAAAGGAAGTGGGAGACGACATAACTCTCGTTTACAGGATCCTGAGTACTCCACCTAAAACCTATCCGTGTATGACACCATCAGAAGCTAAGACAAATCCTGCTTAGAAGGAAGTGTCAGGAACCCAACTTTCTGGGGCCCACCGATTCCAAGGTCTACGGCTCAGTGACGGAATAAAATTAAAAACACAAAATAAAATAAAAAAGAGTCACCACGTTGAAACTCACTTACTTTTCCTGGGTTTCCATGGTTTTCTTCCCTCCTTGGCAGCTGATGCCTGCTTGTGTGTCATCTTTCCTGCTTCTCCTACCAGGGCCTATACTAAACAGAGACAGACGCTGACCACCTTGGATGATGGGTCTGTGGATCACAACTTGGCTCCCTTTCTTACCTGAATCTGCTGCCGATCTGTCCTCCATCGATGGAAATGGGGAAGTGCAGATATCTGTGGGCTCAGCTGCTGACATCCGGGCCAGCCAGAAGGAGAGTGCGACGGGCAAGGACTCTGCACAGAACTGCTAGGGCGGCACCATGAACGGTGACC